TAGAAGAGATAAAAGGAAAGGGAAGCAAGCAGAGAGTTGGGGACCTCATACCACAAAGAAAGCAGCACCAGGAGCAGAGTGCATCCCTTGGACCTGGGGTCCCTGTGCCTGAGAAGCTCCTCGACCAGGCGAAGATTGATGAGAAGGACCTTCCTCCAGAGCCAACACAGAGAAAAAGCCTTCCCCTGGAGCTAACACTCTGAATTTGGACTTTTAGCCTACTAGACTGTGAGTGAATAAATTTCTCTGTTAAAACCATCCACTTGTGGTACTTCTGCTACAGCAGCACTAGATGACTAAGACACACAGTATGCCTAGACCCAGGAACCACGTTTTAAGAGGGATGCTGACAAACTGCTATCCAAAACAAGGCAGCCAGGATGGTACCAAAAAAACCCAAACCTGTTGCCATCCAGTCGATTCCGACTCATAGCAACCCTAAGGGACAGAATATAACTGCTCCATAGGGTTTCCAAGGAGCAGCTGGTGGATGTGAATTGCCAGCCTTTTGGTTAGCAGCCGTCGCTCTTAACAACTGTGCCACCAGGGCTCCGCCAGGACGGTAAAGGGTCTGGAAATTACATCATAAAGCTGAAGAAACTGAGAATGCTTAGTCTAGAAAAGGGAACACTTAGAAAGGAATATAATGTCCATTTTAAATTTCAGAAGCTGTCATGAGGAAAATTAGACTTAAACTGGTCCAGCTGGCAAAACTAAGATCAGTGAGAAGTTACAATAAGACCGAGTTTACTATTCAGTTCAGTATAAGAAGTTTCATACGACTAAAGTCGCACAAAGATAGAACAGATTGTCGTGTCGAACAACAGAGTAGTGAGCTCCCCATCACTGTAAATAATCCAAGCAGAAGCAAGATACGAAACGTTAGCAATGTCACAGAAAGGACTCCAGAACTGGGTGGAAGACTGTACTATAATTGTCTAAAACGCTCCCAGGTCAAAGTTTTAATGATCAGAGTCAGAGATGGCAATAATAATTCACTTCCCCTCCAAATCTCTGTCGTGCTTTTGTCAAAGGAATAGCTACACTGCAGTCAAGTTCCACTCAAGAGACAGAAACACAGCGCCTAATCCTCCCTTGGTGATTCACAGTCATCCCACTGGAAATTGTTCAGGACTTGGCCACTCTTGAAAATTCATGTGCCAATTCTTTTCTTCGTCTAATCCCACTCCTCCACTCACCTCTTTCTACCTAAATTCAAGATGTCCATCTTAATTCTTGAGGAGCTGTGTAAGTTTCACTGCATAACAGAGATCATGTCCTTGTTGAACTTACTCATCTTAACCATGATGTTTCAAACATGTGGGCATTCAGTAAAAGCCTTTGATGACTTCAGCCCATAAAAATGAGGATAATTCAGCCATATTAACTTTGTATGAGCATCATAGCCTGTTAGAAGAGGTCACAGGCTAGACCAGATCAAGCCCACACACATAAGGAGGCAGTCAACAATCAATGACTCTACAAAATGTTAAGCAAAGTGTTAACCCCGCAGCTGGTATTTCAGAAATTCCAGGGAACCGCCTCACTATGTCTTTGATTTCTAAATCATTCCTTCTCAACAAATAATTTTTGAGTCAGAAACACTGCTTTTCAAAAAAGAACTTTTCCGCTAAAAATGTCTTAAGACACCATGAATGTGAAATAAATAATTTGCCCTTATTTACCAACCAAAAAGCCTATCTGTTCCGGTTGAACAAAATCAAGATTAACTTTATAAAAGGAAAACATCCTTTTGTCCAAATGACTGGCCCTCTCCTCCGAGTGAGTTTCTCAGAAGCTTAGGAAACAAGTTCTAAAAGCAAACCTTTTTTCTGTTCCAGGGAAGAGGGGAATGTGGGCCTCTTGACCTATAAAACTCATTATTTTGGAACATCCATAATTCTCCCAAGTCTGTGCCAGCTGAACAGAGACGCCCTCCAGCAAACCACCAGCCAGGGCTGGAGAGCAAGGCTTTCACTCCTAGGAGATGACGAGGACAGGACCCAGAAAGTTCCCCGGGGGCGCAGAGGGAGTCTTTACTTTAGGTTGCATTACAAACTGTTGGAAAAGACAGATGGAGGGGATGACAGGAAAAGCTATTATTTCTTCTGGGCTTCCTTTCTGTCTGGATTCTAAGGAGACAAATACAAAATTCCATCACAGATTGAAATGCTATCTAAACATTCTTGAAAATGTGGTCTTGCTCTCTGAAATATGACCTGCTCAGCTGCAGCAACCTGTGACCTTATTAACATGTGAAGGTGGAGAAGGCCAACATTCCTGCAGCAGGCTGTCTAATTCTGGGCCTGGCTCTGCAACACCGCGAGTTGGTGACCCATAGGTTAAAACGTAAATTACTATAAAATATATATCTCCAGAACATGACCCAACAAAAAGTCCTGATGAATCATTCACTTTATTTTCACATTCCTGGGATTTTGTATACCTGAGACTCTCAAGTATTTTAAAGTTTCTAGTGAGCGATATAGGCTCAATCATACTAAAAAGTAGTGTTATTTCAAATAGTTGTAAAGTGGGACTCTTCAGACAAAAATTCAGCTTTAAACCACTTTAAAAAAACACACTGATCAAAATGATGTTCTTATGGTAAAGGGCTTTTGTTTCTTTGCAATCAATAAACAATCTCACATAGACCAACTCTTCAATACAGTTGAAGAAAATGTTACTGTATGTGAAGTATGTGTACTGAGGAATGCTCAGATGAGAAATACACAGTTCTTGCCTTCAAGGAGCTTACATACTAGTCGAGAAGACAAGATGTGTGCGCCAGAAAGTCAAGGGAGATCACAAAAAACAAATGAGAGGCACAAGCAAAGGGCTATGGGATCTTGCAGGCAGAAAGAAGATACATCTAACCGAGTGATCCTGGGATCAATGCTCTCATCTGTAAAACGAGAGGAGTGGGCCAGATGGGTCCCAAGTCCCTCGTAATTCTAAAATTCTGATTTCTCTGGTGTATCCAGATGAGGTCAACAGAGAAAAGTTCATAAAGGAAATACTATTTGAGCTGGGCCTTAGGTGGCTAAGATTTTTTCCTGCCCCCTCCTCTTTTTTTAATATTTTCTTTATTTTTGGTGGCAGTATACACAACCAAACACACAGCCCATTCGGTTTCTACATGAACAGTTCGATACCATTGGTCACACACTTCACACTGTGCCATCATTCCGTCTCTACCCATACTGTTTCATCACCATTGATTCAGACTCTCTGCCCCTTGAAGTTTTTTAGATGGGTAAGATTTTGAAATGTAGCTACTGGAAGAAAAAGAGAGAGTAAGCATTTCAGGCAAAAAGAAGTATATACGCACGGGTCCAGAAGGCACCGGGCAGGCTTTAGAGCACTGAGTCTTCAGTATGGATGAAACAAAGCAGGAGACAGAGTTGAAAAGGTAGGTCAAAGCTTTGAATGCCAAGCAAAGGAATGTGGATTTAATGTGGTAAACAGAAGCCCCTGAGGTTTCTGAAGAGGCAGATATGCTTCGACATACTTTAGGAAAGTTAACGAGCAGAAAGAGGCCTAAGTGTTTGCAGGCTACCTTAGTGCTCTTTATTACCTCTATTTACATGAATCTCATCTACCAGAGAAGCAGTGCTTCATGGGAGATAACCTAAACAGACAAAAACAAAGCAATAAGAATGAAGAGCTACGTAAGGCACTAGGAAATAGGGTCCGTTATAGGAACCTAATATGTCTATAAAAACAGTTGCTAGCAGGTCAATTCAAACTCATGGTGACTGCACGTGTGTCAGAGTAGACTGTGCTCCATAGGGTTTTCAATGGCTGACTTTTCAGAAGCAGACCGCCAGGTCTTTCTTCTGAGGTGTCTCTGGGTGACTCAAACAGCCACCCTGTTACTTAGCAGCTGAGTGCATTAACCATTTGTACCACCCAGAGGCTCCAATATGTCTATAGACAAATCATAATGGTAGCAACAAGGAAGAAGTCAGACTACTTACAAATAAGCCAACAGAGATGACTACTAAATGAGGGGAAAAATAAAGTTTGTCATAAAATGTAGGGAAACACAGAGAGATGGATAAAACAAAAAATATAAGAGAAAGAGACTCACAGCACCTGAAAGCTACTAGCAGAGGAAACAGGAAATTTCTATGTAGGATTCCACACCACCACCTCCCAAATCTGGGCAGCATAATGTACATTTTTAGAAATTAGATAGTTGTACTAAAAAGTCTCAAAGAAGACACACAACATAACTAAACACTTAAAATGAGTGCATGCTACCTTAACTGAATTAGTATTGAAAAGGGAGAATCAGGCACAGTGAGAGAGGTAGACTAGAAAAGGTACATTCAGCATTTCTGTTATGACAGCAATTTCTGAAATGTGATGCCGAAACAGAGAACAGAATCCAAATGAAAACGAGAATGGTTAATAGATACCATCTGGCCCCTCAATCATTGAAGAATACCCCTCCCCATACACTTCTTTTGCTCTTTATTCCCTTCCAGCTTCCCTCCTTGGCTGGATCCAAAAAACTATGAAATGAATTTATAGTTACCCATGTTTGCCAGTAAAGCTACGCATGAAGATCTGTAGCTATGTCAGGTTATCATCTTTTGTAACAACAAAAATGATAGCAAAACTCCAGTAACCCAGCTGGTAAACAAAAGCTGCAACCTTATTTAGTACACAAACTAAAGAAGGACAGAAGACATGTCTGACACAAGGAGAAAGCCAAGGAAACTTTGGTGTTCCCACTCGAGCCGCCTTCCCTTGGCCATGGGTGAGCTGTGCTACGATGGTCTCAGGGAACTGAGAGAGCTCCTGGCTGGTCTGGGCAGCCGACATCTGCTGCTGGGGGGACAAGCCATGTATGTGTCCTGCTGTGTATGGGACAGATCAACAAGAAAGCGCTCTGCGGGAAGATGGATTGACGTTTTGGTTCCTTTGGTTGCTGGGGTATTGAAGAAAGAAAATAGACGAGTATAATTCTTATAGAGGAAGAAGTTACTTACTTGCCTTCCATCTTGCCCCACATTTGTTTGACCTCTTACAACAGTTCGAATATTGTCATCCAGTCTCCTAGTGGAAAAGTTAAAGGATACAAATCATTAAAATAACCTCTATTCTAGGTAGATTAAAAGAAGGAGTTAGCAATTTATCCATCAACTTCTGGAGATTACCCCTTAAAAAAAAGAAAAACCAAAGCCATTGCCACTGAGTCAATTCTGACTCATGGCGACCCCTTGTGCTCCAGAGTAGAACCGCTCCATAGAGTTTTCTTGGCTGTAATCTTTTACCAAAGCAGATTACCAGGACTTTCCTCCACAGTGCCACTGGGTGGATTCAAACTGCCAACTTTTCAGTTAGCAGACAAGCGCAAACCATTTGCATCACCCTGGGACCTCTAGACTGTACCTATTTGTCCAGAAAACCAAACAAATGTGAACAATAAAAGGAAGACTGGGCCCCGGGCCTCAAGTGGGGCAGCAACAGTAGTATACAGAGGCCAAGCCCAGTGTGGACTGAAGAGTCTTCTTGGTGTTAAAAAAAAAAAAAAACAAAAAAAAAAACACTATTTCCATTTACTATTCAGCACTGTCTGAGCGGACCAATAAAACTTTTAATATTTTTCATGGAGTAAATCAGGAATGACAAAGTTGCCGAAACTTTATGACAACAAGCCAGAGGATGGGGTCAAATGATCCCACCCAAAATCCCTTCCTCAGCAACTTCCTCAGGAACCTTAAAAGGGACAAAGAGCTAGAGTGAGATATAGAATCAGTGCTTCCCCCTCTGGGCCCTGGTATGCAATCTGTATATGAGGTAGATTGGTGGCCTCCAGCTCCTCTTTCCCCTGTAGCTCAACAGGAGCCATTCAATGGCACCTCCGCCAGAAAAACTCCTATCCGTGAATTTCACTCTTCATTTGAAGAATCCATTAAAAGCAGGATAGGGTGAGAGTTTTAAATAACTGGCTCACAAGTGGTTTTTAGATCATTAGGGAATTTCCACGTTCTGCTCAAACCCTGGATAATTTAGTTGCCACTACCAGAATTTTCATAGCTCTAGTCACTAAAACAATGAAGAGGCTTTTCTGTACTTTCTAAGGCACCCAACTGAACAATGCATTCATGGCAGAAGTCTTCACTAAAAAACCCAAGGTTGTATATCAATGTTCATTGCAGCACTGTCCACAATAGTTAAAAGGTAGAATCAATCTAAATGTCCATCAGCAGATGAATGGATGAACAAAATGTGGTATTTTTAAGGCAGTGAAACTATTCTGTATGATACTGTAATGAGGGACACATGACATTACGTATTTGTTAAAACCCATAGGACTACAGAACACAAAGAGTGAACCCTAACATAAACTACAGACTTTAGTGAATAATAATAATGCATCAATATTGGTTCATCAACTGTAACATATGTACCACATAACTGTGAGACGTTAATAACAGGAGAAACTGTAGAGGAGGGAGAAGGAGTATATGGGAACTCTGTACTTTCCGCATAATTTTTCTGTAAACCTAAGCTGTTCTAAAACATAGTCTATTTTTTAAAAAATGTGGTATATACCTACCATGGAATATTATTCAGCCAGAAAGAGAAACGATGTCCTGATACATGCTACAACATAGATGAACCTTGAAACACTATGCTAAGTGAAATAAGTCAGTCACAAAAGGACAAATATTATATGATCCTACAATATGAAATAGGCAAATGTAAAGAGACCAAAGCTTACTAATAGTTATCAGGGGTAGGAGGGAAAGGGAAAAGGGGAGTCTTTGCTTAGGGAGCACTGAGCTTCTGGTAATGGTGATGGAATAATCTGGAAACAAATAATGGTTATAGTTGCACAATATGATGAACGTAATCAATGTTACTGAATCAGACACATAAAAAGCATTGACAAATGTTTTGTTATATTTATTTGTATATACAACAAAATATATGTTATATATATGCAATAAATATACATATATATATATAAAACACTAGCAAATGATTTGATATACGTATATATTTTTAACCACAATAAAACAATTGAAAACAAAATCAAAGGTTACAAGAGAAAAAAGTCATCTCCTGGATCCAAAATGAATGTTTCTCATCAAAAATTCATTAAAAAACAACCTAACTATATTTAAAGTAAAGTCATTAACCTATTAATACAATGAACCAACATTTATTGAGTACCTATCACATGTGAAAACTAAAAATCCAGACATGGATAAACCAAAACAAGACCACTGGGCAGGAAGGACAGTCTACCCTTGATGATCATCCTAGACAACCACATCATGGGTTAGTCACAAGGCTTAATCCTAGGCCACCACTCAGGCCAACCAGCAGATCCGACCTCATGTGTTTGTGGCCAAGGAACACACATATAAGCTCACCTTCATATTTGAGCCTTAGGAATACAAAAAAGGCAACTTTTTCCCACAAATAATGCACCCACATAAATACATATATAACATGCACAGTGTGCCTAGGAAAATAACGCATGAGGGGGTTGCACAGTTGGCAAAAAAACGTATAATGCATGTATTTGTGTGAAAATATGGTAAATTCACTAGGGAAATAAAGCCATGAAGAACAGAATAGAATTCACGTAAAAAGACCAGACTTAACGGTCTGACTGAGACTAGTGGAACCCCAGAAGACATGGCCTCTGGACTTTCTGTTAACCCAGAACTAAAACCATTCCTGAAGCCAACTCTTTAGACAAAGATTAGACTGGACTATAAAACATAAAATAATACTCGTGAAGAGTATGCTTCTTAGTTCAAGTAGATACACGAGACTGAATCGGCAGCTCCTGTCAGAGGCAGGATGAGAGGGCAGAAAGGGACAGGAGCTGGTTGAATGGACACAGGAAATCCAGGGTGGAAAGTGGGGGAGTGTGCTGTCACATTATAGGGATTACAACTAGGGTCACAAAACTATGTGTATAAATTTTTGCATGAGACACTAACTTGTGCTATAAACTTTCACCTAAAGCCTAATAAAAAAGAATAATAATAAAAAGAACAGAATAGGAATGCTTTTGCCTCCTTTTATAATGTACTATTTTGGATAACCTCTCTTACTGCTTCCTTCCTTTTTTATGAGTAACTCAACACTGACCAAAGAACCAAATCCTTTGCCACAAGGCTCAAATAGAAACCCGGACAAAAGAATTATCTTTAAAAAAATTACCATATACAGCAAATCTGGGGTTTCAATGTTCTCACAGGTAAGTGAGATCCAGAATGTGAATAAATGAACAACATACTTTCCATTAACTATTAAAAATCATACGATGTTACTTACCTTATTTTCAGTCTAATTTTGTTCACAACTTCATCTATGTTTGCCAGAGACTACAAAAAAGAAGGAAGAGTGCCCAGCTGTTATTTCACTTCCTGGAATTCCCCTTTCGCAGTGAAATGATGAGCTATAATGGCTATTTATGAAACCTCAAAAAATTTGATCACACAATAGGATTCCATTTTTACCTTTTTAAATACATAGCAGTAGTTGGCAGCTAGTGCCAAATCCAGCCCAGCACTTGTTTTTGTAAATAACATTTTTCTGGAACACGGTCATGCCCATTCACTTAGGCAGGGCCTAAGGCCGCTTTTGCACTACAATGGCAGCGCTGGGCGGTTGTGACAGACACTGTGTGGCCCACAAAGCCTAAAATATTCACTATCTGGCCCTTGACAGAAAAAGTTTGCTCAGCCCTGGTACACAGGATTGTGACATGTGCACACAACAAAATGAACTACTGCAACATACAACATGGATAAATCTTACTAGCACGATGCTGCACCAAAAAAGCCAGACACAAGAGTATATACTGTATGATTCCATTTATATACATAATTAAAAACCAGGCAAAACTATTCTCTGATGTTGGAAGCCAGGACAGTGGTTATTTTGCAAGGAGGAAGTGACTGTAAGGTGGCCAGAAGAGGCTTCTGAGGGATGGGTCATGTTTTATTTCTTGATCTGAGAGGTAGTTATATGGCTGTATTTACTCTGTGAAAAGTCATCAGGTGGTGCACTTAAGATTTGTGTCCCCATCTACAGACATGCTACACTTTAATGAACTATTATTATTTTAAGCATACAGGTTCACTAGAAAAAAGTGTGGAAAGATATATACCAACAACTGTAATTTATATCAGTAATTATAATCTATGAAATCTATACTAATAGTTGTAATCTATGCAAAGGAGTTTTAATGTTTCTTCTTTTTGCCCATGAGTATTTTCTAATCATACATATATTGACTGTACATTGCTTTGTAACATAATTTCTGTTTTTTAAGACAATGACAGTTAAACTAGACCATTTCCATCCTTAGAACCAAAAAAAACCAAATCTGTTGCCGTCGAGTCAATTCTGACTCACAGTGACCCTATAGGACAGAGCAGAACTGCCCCATAGGGTTTCCAAGGAGCAGATGGTGGATTCCAACTGCCAACCTCTTCTCTGCAGCCTGAGCTCTTAACCACTGTGCTCTAGAATGGACAAAAATGTGAGGAAATGGTGCCCCCTACCGGAGAAGAGAATGTATTACAATTTTATAACTTTTCCACTCAAGTTTCAAAATATACTTTCCTATGTCCTCTTTCCCTCTCTCCCAAACGAAGGAACTGAGGGTGATGCAGGAATTGTGCTTGCAAATTGCTAATATAAAGATTCAGTATAATTAAGAACTTTGAAAAGTTAAGCTACCTCAACCGGTCTGGTAAGAGAAATAGGTCACAAGTGTTGAGCTGTCATAGACTACACCTTTCTCATCTGTACTGACCAAGCCAAAGTTACTCAAAATCTTCAGAAATCCAAGAACAGACTTAGAAAGAGGAATCTCAGAAAAAAGAAGTCACTTTAATTGAGGAATCCACTATCACCTCAAAACCAGACTGGATCTAAACCACCACCATGTGGGCAGTTGATAAGTTGTCAGAGTACCTGACTTTCAGCCCAACTCTACCACCACTAACTTGGTTTATGTGTAGAGGGCAAGTGGGTTAACCTCTCAGAGTTTCTATTTCCTCATCTGCAAATGGACATAATAGTTCCTACCTTGCCTATTTCTACTAGAACCCACACTTCTTTTCATTTTTTAGTGTTTGTTTGCTTTAATCTATTAAAAATGTTAACATTTGAGGAGTCTGGGGGAAGGGTGTCCAAGAATTCTTTGTATTATTCTTGTACC